GAAAATAGATTTGGTATATTCCAACAGATAATCAAAAAAACATTTCCAGTTGACACAAAAAATTTTAGTTGTAGATGTACGAAACCCATAAAATTAACTCCTTGTTTTTTAACCAAGGCAACTAATATATATAATTAGTATATATATCTAGTTTATTGTGCCAGGACAAAAACCGGTGTAATTGAAAAAAACAAAAGTTGAAACAAAATTAATTTTGTGTTGATTGTTGCTACTTATATAAAGAAATCGAAAATGTCCTATTATTTATGTGAAAAAACTTTATCTATATTATTTGTCTGCCCTATATGGCCTACAGATGACATCATTTACTTCTATAAGTTATAATTATACATAAAGGGTTCAATGTTAATCTTTTATAAAATACAAAAACTAACCTTACCATATATGATTTTTAATGTTCGAATAAGAATTAATTTTAAAATTTTAAGCTGTTCCTTAATAAATTTTCAAAATTAAAAATTAAAATCATAATCATAAATATTTTTATTTTACCTTTTTCTTTAAAAATAAAACTAAAAAACGAACTTCAAAACTTTTTCAATTATCCAAAAACTAACATTAAAAATCTATTTTGCACCGCAAAAATTCCAAATCATTTGTTTATTTTTCAAACTAATTATTTCAATATCCTAGTACTCAACATCTCTAAACGATTAAAATATTTCATTCTTCTCTATGATTTTCGAATCTTCTGAAAATTTCTTACTTGGAAACGGAATGAATTACAAATCCCTAGAGAAAAATTAATCCTTCAAAAAGAAATTCTTTTGTTTTTTTTTCTCAAAGTCAAATTAAAAAAAAAAAATAATATAAAAAATTCTCTTTTAGTTATTTTTCTAAATTTTCTTTAGGGGAGAGGCGCGCTATTGCATTAATAGTACTATGTATGCATTGAAAGATTGCATACATAGGAATAATTTCAGCATTGGTTTTGCATATGTGTGTACACTTCATTTTATATGTTATTCAAAAAATTATTCTATGGCAACACTATACAAGAATAATAGAAGAAAACCGCATACGTCTGGTAGATTTCATTAAAATATAGAAGTGAAAAATGTTCAAATATAACTTTGCTAATTCTAATAAGAACTTCTGTATTTAATGATATCATAAAAATTAATCGCTATACTACAGCTAATTATAATTATGAAGTGGAAAGCACACAATAAAATTTAAAAATACAAAAGTTATCAACGTCAACAATCATCATTATCATCATCATATCATCAATCATTTACTATATAATCATAATGTAATCATTAAGAAAATTTTTTGTATTTTACTTTTATAATCACAAAATTTTCAAAAATATATAGAGAAAAACCAGGACCAGAAGAAAGAAAACAATCAATTTTAACTTCTTGATGATGAATTTTCATATACACAAAGAATGAAAAAAAAAGGACGAAAAGAGAAAAAAGAAACACAAAAAAATTGTCAAATTTTATTTTAATAATTTCTCTCGTCACCCGTTATCGCGTAAACATTTTGCGGGAAAATTATGATTATAACGGTTTCTTTATTATTTTTCTTCCTTTTCCTCTGTTCCTTTATTTTTTGTAAAGGAATCTTGTTTGTTTTAAGTTTTACAGGCATACACACACACCACGTTTTTTAAGGTAATGATAACTTTTTACGTTTTTATTATTGAATTTTACCGTATTTTGTCATACCGCTAACTAAATTTTCAATATCCCGTTTATTCATTTATTCATACAGTCTGTATGGTTTATTCTTTGAATTTTAAGGCTTAAAGGAAAAATTTCTGACTTTACTTCATAAGCGAGTAAAATACTGAAATAAGAAGAAGTCATAAAGAAAAGCATAAAATAAAACACGAAATAGAAACGGGAAACAAAAGAAAAATCAAATACGATAATAGAAGTTTTGAATGGTAATAAAGTTTTTAAAAGCAGTAGTAGTAAACGCGGCGAAAATAATGGGGTGAAAATTAGTACACAAAAAGAGAAACTATATAATAAAGAATGAAATCGGATGGTGAGGGAAATTAAATTTAATTTTTATTATAAAAAGTTAAACGGTTTAATTAGATTCTTTTCTTTATTATTATGTTCGTTGGGTCTCTTTTCCTTAAGTTTATAAGGAAACAAATAATATGATAAGAGTTAGAAGAGAAAAGCGAACAAAATAGCACGAATTTTTTAACTTTTTTAATAAAATATTAAGAGTTAACTTTAGAATAAAAATATTTTTTTTACGTAAATAATTAATAACCAGACTTAAACAATGCACACTTTATTTTAAGGAGTTCATAAATTAATCTCTGAAGGTTGGTATTCCTTAAATAAAGGTCTCATCAAAAAGTGAAAACATTAAGTGAATTTTAAATTTGGATTACAATTAATATTTTGATTTAGAATTCATTTTAGGCAGATTAGAATAAGATTTGTTGAATTTATTATTAAAATTAAAGCATAAATTTCAAAAATCAAAAACTAAACTGTTTTTTAAAATTATTCTGTACTTGATTTTCTTACCAAATTGCGCACAATTTTCTTTAATTCTATTATTGAAATATTAATAAAAATTCCATAAATTATACGTAAGATACAGGATAGATTAACGAGAACGAAAATATTAAAAAGGGCAAATGGGTGTTAAATTTTCTCCACACTTTTGTTTTTAATAAAAGTTAAAAAAAATTCAAATTTATGAAAAAGAAGAACAAGTTTTTCTTCTTATAATTGTTTTCCTATTTGTTTGTATGTATTTGATTTGTATTCATTTTTCGATTTAACATGAACTATCATAAATCAGGGCATTATAACGCCCAAAAAACTGCGTTTGCAATAATAATAATGTCGAAAACATGAAAAATTGAATAATAACTTAATTCCTGTGACTCTTGTCACAATTTTAAAATTGTAAAATTAATATCTACGACATAGCTTTATCGTTAGAAATGAAACTGATTATTTGAAATTAACTCAATGTGGCTGAAGTGTAGAGAAACACTGAAGGAAGAATTGAGAAGCGATTTTAATTTAAAAGAGAATTATACGAATTTGATTAATTTTCCAAAAATGTAGATCAGCATAACGTAGATCATTTAATTTGAAGAGTAGTAAAAATAAATTTCATACGATCGTAAAAAATGTGACAAGATTACCTGCTTCCATTAAAACTTAACTGATAATAATTCAATTAAATTTTGTTGTGATTGTACAAGCTCCTACAATAGATCGCAAAAAAAATTAAAAAGTAGTTTGGCAATATCTTGCAAACTATAAGAACTAAAGTATTAAATTTTTTCATTTAATCGTAGGATCTCACAGGTTCCTGCGAATATTATTTGAGATATTTAAAAAGATTAAGCTTTTTTAATTTTTTTTCATTATTCAACATTATTAATATTCTGTGCATTTTTATCCAAACTGAATAACATAAAATCTGATGTGATAAGCACATAACTGACCGGAAGTTTTTTTGTCCAGTTTAGCAAAAGTGTTTCAGGAAAATAGCCGATAGATCGATAGACCGAAACCTTGCTAAAAACACTTTCTTTACGCTTTCATACCATGTAGAAGTATAGTTTTACCGAAAAATCGCCATCACAGCATAACCTCACTTATTGTATTCGGTCAGTAAAAATAATTAATTTGTTTATTTTTCAGAAATATTAATTTAGCATTCTATAACATAATAATTATGTAGCACAACGGTAAACACTGATTAAATGTATAATCAAGATAAATTTTCTTACAAACTCCCATACCTTAACTTTGCATACAACTGTTTTGACTCAATTTTCACGTTCTTAAATAATTTTTTTTTTTAATAAATTTTCCAGCCCACCTTTCATTTTTTTCACTTTTTATTTTAATAAATCGCTTATAGGTACACATAAATGCCTTCCTCTTCTTTTCATCATCCAATTCATTATTACAATGTAAGCAATAAAATATCCTTTTTAGGCGGAAAAAATAAATAGAAAAATTGTTCTTTTCTGTTTATTCTTTTTTTTTTTGTTTTTTTTTGTTTATTGAGATGGTGTTTTTATAATTTATTACAAAAATATCAAATAAATACGCAATATTAGTGAAATTTTTCATAAGTAAAATATTTTTTTATAAGTGTGTTAATACTTGTGCGTATAAACATATATATACATACATACACAGTATATGCCGGTCTAGAATTTAATGCATTAAGTTATAAGTGTATAAATATATTTTGTATATACGATTATCTTTATTTATTTAAAAGGACATTTTGATATTTATTTTTATTGCATATTCATTATGATAAATTGATCAATTTATTGACAAAAAGGATATTATATTATATCAAAGGACATTTTTTACTTTTATACATTATTTTCAGTATACATCGTGTATCGAAAGTAAATATAAAAACTAAAATAATTTTTATTAGTAATTTGTAAAGATTACCACTATTTATATGATCGAATCGAATATATGCTTAAGGAAGGACGTTTATTATAATGCACATATGTACATGCATAATATATTTAAAGGGTTGATAAAATATCAAAGATTATGAAAATTTTCAAATTTATAGCTATATTATAGTTATTCAAAAGAAAAAAGAAATTTATAATGATAGCTTACATCAAACTCTTATATAACGTACACAATATACAAAATGCTTTTATAATATAAAGGAAAAATCAAAAATTATATTTTCATTTCCGTCAAATAAATAAGAAAGAAATTTATGAAAAATTCCTTTCCGTATGTTCTTGTATTATACAAACATATTAAATGTATAATTTGTCATGGTCAACAGAACATCATTTTTTATCAAATTACTAAAATGAGCCATAAAATTGATTTACTTATTAAAAGAAAACTTACATATTTAAAGAGTAAAGAGTAATTTTTCGAAAATATATTGAACATTTTTGATTAATTTAACTATTATTTGTATTGTGTGTTTTTAATGCACAGTAGACAGTTAAATTATTAAAATTTAAAATTATATTATATATATAGGGTGATTCAGGAAGGTATATATAACAACATATACCATTGATTAGAGGGTAGAAAATGGGTAAAACATTTGTTCCGGACTGGGTGCCAAATCTCAAGGGTTTCCGAATTCCAGGGATTTTAACGAATTTTCACGAAATTTTTACTTATCCAAGTTTTTTTTATTATAACTTCCGTTCTGAAAAATATAGGAACTTCGAACAAACAGTTTCCGAAGTAAAGGGTTTGAAATAAATATGTTCCTTTATTCTGTATTTGTATCAAATTTTTCCCTTGTTGTATTTTTACAGTTTTTTCTAATTAGAATAATTTCGTAAGAAATTTTTTAAAGCCTTGAAATTTTTTTTTTTGGGCGAAACTCCAGCTGCTTAAGGTTAGGTGCTCAAGCATTAAAATTTTTTTTATGTTACAGAAGATTTATCACAAAAATCATTTCAATGTCAAGTTATTAAAGGTCCTTAAAGGCGAGGATTTTAAGCGCTGTAATTATCAACTCTTATTAATTTTGAATGAGGAGAGTGTTATTTTGGATGAACAATAATAAAATTGAAACAAAATTCTATACTAACTTTTAATTTGAAAAACAAAAATTGATTTAAAAAAATTTGAAATTTTTGAAAAGAAAAACTAGAATTTTGTTTATTAGGAAAAACAAAAAAAAAATCAAGTAATCAAAAATTTTTTTTCGAAACTTTTCTTGGCAAGAAAAATTATAAGTTTTTAATTTTTGCCAATTTTTGTAAGAAAAGGTACCTATATGGTTTAAAATTTTTAAATGCATTTTTCTCGAATTGGGTGCAATATAAAAATTTGAAAAAATAATTTTCGGAATCTAGACACCATTTGGCATCTGAAGTTGTTAAAATTATCCAGTTGGAGCGATTTTTTAATAGGAAAATTTAATTTTTTTGAACAAAATGGAGTTTGTAAGTGATATGGTATTAACATTACTAAGCCAATAAATAATAAATAAATAATTTAAGAGAATTAATAAATATCAAACATATTTCTACAAAAACTAAAATTGGTATACGGTTGATGCAACTAAAGTGGTGTTCTAGTAAAGCAATTAACATAAAATATGCGATTGAGTAGAAATAGATTTGAAAGAAGAAAAACATAAATTTTTTCCGAATAAGGTGAATTTCATAGGAGAATTTGGTGTTTGTATTGAGAAGTTTGTAAATTTTTTATATAAGAAATTCGTATTTTTCCAAATTTTTCGATAAAGGAATATTAAATTGAATTTAATTTAAGTTTTATCAACATCTGGTTTGATTTTAATTGAATTTCTTGCCACAATATTTGTGGTTCTTGCACTAAAACTTGTCACATAAAAAAATGTTTAATGTTTGAGGACTTAAAATAAAATATAAGCAGCCTGAAAAAATCTATAAAAAAAATCTCAAGGATTTAATAGATTTTTTACGAAATTAATTTAGTTAGAAAAGAAAAAAATGAAAAAATAAAACAATGAAAAAATTTGATTTTTCCTAAAGTTCGAAATGCTTAGTATTCCGAAAGTACAAAAAATACAGAATCAAGCAACATGTTTATTTTAAGCCCTTTACTAGGCCTTTCAGAAACTGTTTGTTTTAAGTCTCCATCTTTTGCAGGACGGAAGTTATAATCAAGAAAACTTGGATAAGTAAAAATTTCATGAAAATTCGTTAAAATACCTGGAACTCGGAAAACCTTCAGATTTTCAATCTTCTAACCAATGGAATATGTTGTTGTATACCTTTCAGAATCACCCTGTATATAAGTATGTAAAAATATAATACATATATGATTTATAAATTGTATTGCATTTAATAATTTACTACAATGACGTAATTTTAATTTGGAAATGCAATACATTATTAAAATTCAGATTATTATAGGCACTACGAAAAAAGTTAAGCTTATTTAATTGTTATTCAACAACATTTAGGGATACACTTATTTATTTCTCTTGATTTCTTTAAGAAATTCTAGAACTATTAAGAAAGTTACTTTTGCAAAACCTTATTCAATTCTCAAAGCGATATTTAAAAGCCACACAACTAATGTTTGAGCGACTGGAAAAGAAAATCTGTTGTTAACCTATAACTGATATCAGGGGTCATTTTTCACTCCAAATTAAAATAATATTTGTTAAATATAGCACTTAAAATCGATAAAAATAAAAAATAACGAGAATTTTTTAAGTTAATACTCAAGCCCTTGCGTTAAGTCTTAAAATTCAAATAGCTTTTTTTTGTTATATCTCCTGTACTGCAATTTTTTTTTAACATTTGATGACTTAAATTAAAGCAGAACAATCTGGCCAAAATTTTACAAAACAAAAATTATAAAGTTTTAAAAAGTTTCATATAAAGTTATCAGCTTAGATAAATCTAAAAAAATAGCAGAAAAGGAAAACATATGAGTTTGAATATTTGGTATTCCGAAAGTACATAAAATACCAAATCATGTAATATGTTGCCTTCAAGCTCTTGAAGGCAACAAAGCATGGAAATTCATTAAAATTCTTGTATCTAGTAAACCGTTGTAATTTGACACATAGTTTTTCCCATTTTACTCAACAAACATTTTACTCAATTTTTAATGCCTTCAACGACAATCTAATATAATATTGTAATCTTAACTGAATTACCCTGTATATATTCTTAATTATTATCTTATTGAGAAATACAAGAAAATAAGAAAAAACTAATCTTAAAATTATAGCAAAAACTATTATGGGGTAATAATTTCGTCAGTTAAGAGTTAAGAAACTTTAACTCATTAAAAATAAAATACAAAAATAGAAACTCCAAGACCTGCACTCATAAGTTGAAAAGTTTCCTTTTAAAAAAAGTCATTCTTGATGTGTAATTTAAGTCAATGAAGTAAAATTTCATCTATCGTAATCCCCAGATTATGCCCCAGTACAACCCAGAACGGGTTTATACTACGGATTTTAGATTCCGAAAACCTGTATTATGAAAAATAAAACCCTGTCATTAAATCAAATATGTAGTAGAGAAATTCGGGATTTCAAACTTCAACAGTGCACTGAAGAAATCAAAAAAATATCATATACGTTGATAAAACTTTACTGATTATAGAAGTTCAGAAAATCTAGTTATAGGCAACGCATACGGCTGCTTTCATTCAACGACAGAATAACAAATTATTGTTAATTATAAATTTATTCCAGAATGAATACAGAATGTTTCTTTGACAGCCGTATTATAGAAGTAAAATTGAATATGTACTTAATATGTAAGTATTAATTATATTAATTAATTACAAATACATATAGCTACGAGCAACTTATTCAACAGTGTTTGGAATATCATTTAAAAACTTTTGAAAATGTGATTTTTTAAAACCGTTTTATGTTTTCGAATTTAAATGAATATTTTTCCGAAACACAATAACAATCTTTAAATTTCAAGAAATTCTTTGGTCAAAACTCCATAATAAAATTTCTAAAATAACAAACAGAAATATACATACATATAAATATAATACTCGTATACAACATAATAAAAATTGAATTTCTGTAAAATAAAAATCCAATTATGAAAATGAGATTTTTATTATTTCAACCGTGTAACTTTAAAACTATGAAACCGGAGAAATCGAAAAAGAAAACAAAAGTGTTCAGTTTTAGTGCTCTTTAAAATTTGATTAATTTAAAAAAATTATACTTAAACTGCATATTTACATACATACATATCCTAATATCCTTAAAGGATTCGAATTTAAGTTGAGTTAACGGTATTTTATGGTATAAAAATACAAAATCTATCTTAACTACTCGTATACTATAAACCACAATTTTTTTTTATCAGTAATAAGAAAATTCATTTTCATCATTTTTCAAAACTTTTTATTTGTGCTTTTTGAATCCTTTGTTTCTTATACAGAAAAATTATGTGGACTTTTTTTTTTATTTTGATTTGGAAATGCACATAAAATCACTGTTGCGTTCGCTGGTTTAAATGTTTTAATTTTTTCAATATAAATTTTTTCATTGCATGCATCTTAAAACTTTTTCTTCGTTTTTATAACTGTATATATTATACAATAAATAAGGATATAATATTATACAAGGATATTATGCCCTTTAAAGCCGTAAATAAAATTGATATAGAATAAGAGGAACAAAAAAATGTAAGAAAAATAGAAGAGTAGAAGGAAAAATAGTAACAAAATAGTCATAAAATGTTAGTAAAATCGTTATAAAAACAAAAATAGAGGTTAAATGTAAACTGATGAATATAACAAAAAAAAGTCTCAGTTAAAATGATGAAAAAGAATCGTAAATAAAAGGATACGTTTAAAAACACGAACAAAAAACAAAAAGTGTCGGACTAGTGATTTTATGTGTTTTATACTTTCAAGTAGATTTACAACATCGTAAAAGTTACTAAAAACTTCACCTTTAAAATAAATATAATTGTAGTTAAAGTAATGTTGATATAACGGGGTGTGTACAATAGATTCTCATCTGAGTTTTTTAATTTTACGGCTCAAACTTACATGCAATTTTAAGTTTTGAAACTACTATTTGATTATTGTTGCGCGCACAACTAAGAAACTAAAAATTACAATTAGTTTGTAAAAAAATAACAGACTGTTTGATTGCTTAACTGCATTCGATCATACAGGTTGCATGTGTACGCGCAACCTGTATGATTGTGTTCCATAGATTTGAATATAAAACTATGGAACACAAATAGGGAATTAAACAGTTGTAAAATTAAAAAATTGCTAGCCTGCCTGAATCCTTACACTCGAAAAAAGTTGTACAATTTTACCACTGTTATAAATTCAACTTCATCACTATTAATATACTTTTATTCTATGATACAATAAATTTAATTGTGTTACACAATAATTAGTTGAAAATATTAATGTGAGTCAAAAATTAATGTGGTCAGTGAAACTTTTTGTCAGATCGGTTTGCTGTGGTAAAAATATACGAGGCTGTATTGTTTGCAGCCTAATAAATATATTAGGCTTCCAACATTACAACAGCTAG